AGGGGGCGGCGGCGCGAGGCAAGATGGCGGCGGCCGGCCCGGGGCTCGGCCGCTTCCGAGGCTGCTTGGCCGGGGCGCTGCTGGGCGACTGCCTGGGCGCCGCCTTCGAGGGCCGGAGCGTGGTGAAGCTGCCCGAGCTGCTGCGCTTCCTGGGCGGCCTGGAGCCGGCGCCCGGCGCGGGGGAGCCGCTGGGCAGCGCCCGCAGAGGTGGGCGCCCCGGGCCTCCCCCGGCCTCCGCAGCCGCGTCCCCCCCCGAGCGGGCCCGGCCCCCAGCACGTCCCCTTCCCCGCTCCCTGAGGGAAAACCGTGCCCAAGCTCCGCGATCCCAGCGCGTGCCCCGGGGTTTCCATCGCTGCGCCCGCTCGCACCTCTGTGGCGAGCGAGGGGCCGCGGGTGCCGGGAGGGCCCTCGCGGACACGCGGAGCGGGGCAGCCCGGCCCTGAGCGCTGCCTCTCTTGCAGAAACGCTGCCCTACACGGACGACACGGCCCTGGGCCGGGCGCTGCTGCGCTCCCTGCTCAACAGGCACGGCTTCGACGAGGCCGACATGGCCAGGAGGTGAGGGCGGCCGCGGGCCCTGCGCGCCGCAGCGTGCACCGCTGCGGAAGAGCACAGGCGTAACGCAAAGGCAGGAGATTTAAAAAAAAAAAAAGAAAAAGGAAGTGCAGGATCCTCCTGAAATGCACCGGGAGCTTGGCGCTGCCCTGGGGTGTGCAGCGTCGCTGGCTTTGATGCAGGTGCTGAGCCCGCTTTGCACCTGAGCAGGTAGCGCGTCCCGCTCTGGCTCGCACGCCGCTCTGTTTCTATACCTGCACGGAGGAGAACGCTTAGAAATCTGCTGTGGTGGTTGTTACTGTTTATGTTTACGTTTCCTTCAGTTTATTTAGTGAATATTAGTGAGGTCAGGCTCAGTTCATTTCTGATCCATTTCCCTTTTGGATCCACAGCAGTCATAACATTTGCTTCCACTTAAGGGAGAGAGTTTATTTGTTTAGAAAACACTTCCACTGAACTCGAACAAAGGAGTTTGTGCGTGGCCGTGACCCCGGGAGACTTTTCCACTTTGTTTCTGTTTCAAAGCAAAGTGGAAAGGGAAACAAGCGGGCTGGGAGAGGTGATGTTTGTGCACCCTTTTGTCCTTTCACAGCAGCCCTTGCAAATCTGATTCTTTCCCTGAATCAAATGGGTCCTGACCACTGCTGATTTGTCCATCCTGCTTGTTCACTGTATCATGGGTTGGTTTTATAAAGTGTTAGTAACGTATCAGATATCCAGGGGGATTATTTTTCTCGCCAGTGTAACTGCTGCTGTCCCATCCGTGCCAGGTTTGCTGAGGAGTACAAGAAGGAACCCAACAGGGGATATGGGATGGCCGTTGTCAACGTGTTTAAGAAGCTCCTGAGCCCCAAGTGCAGCGATGTGTTTGAGCCAGCAAGAGCACAGTTTAATGGAAAAGGCTCCTACGGAAACGGCGGTGCTATGCGGGTGGCAGGCATTGCTCTGGTGTATTCCGATGTCCAGGATGTGAAGAAGGTACCTTCTTTTGGGTCCCTTTGGGTTCCTTGGCCCTGGGAGTGCCCCTAGTAGGCAGGTGCCCCCGTGGTCTCCCGGCAGGGTTTGCTGATGGTGTTTCCTTCCGCAGTTTGCAAAGCTCAGTGCGGAGCTGACCCATTCCAACTCCCTGGGCTACAACGGGGCCGTCCTGCAGGCGCTGGCCGTGCACCTGGCCCTGCAGGGAGAGCTCAGCAAGGAGAGCTTCCTCGAGCAGCTCATTAGCCACATGGAAGATGTCGAAGCGGATGAGAGGTCTCTTAGTGACGCCCGAGCGTAAGTAGCTGTGAGGAGCACGGACTCCTCCGTGTGCCATTGCTTCTGCCTCTGCCTTCTCCCCTTCATTGTCCTCTTGTTTCCAGGCTAGGGTTTGAGGATTTACCATTTTCAAGGCGCCTGAAGAAGATAAAGGAATTTTTGGAGCTCAGCAGTGTTCCCAAAGCAGATGTGTTGTTTGAATTAGGTGAGTACTTATTGCAAGTAAGAGCAGGAGGCAGGACTGTGCTGGCAGAGTTGGGAGTTACGGCCTGTGAGGGGAGCTGCACTGGGGAGCTAGGGGGAGGAGGGGAGAGCTCACTTTTGCAACTTGTCGTGTAAAAATCAGTAATATTAATATTGAAAGTGGTTGGCAGTAAGAAGCTACAAATAAAGGCAAAAAAGGAGCTTCTGTGGAAGAGAAAATGCAAGTGTTGTGCAGCACTGAGAAAGGCTGGTTTGTTAACAGGCAATGGCATTGCTGCTCTGCGCTCCGTGCCGACCGCCATTTACTCCTTCTTGCGCTGTATGGAAGCTGACCCCGATATTCCTGACCACTACAACCCCCTGCAGAGGACCATCGTCTACTGCATCTCTCTGGGAGGAGACACAGACACCATCGCTACCATGGCCGGGGCCATTGCGGGCGCTTACTATGGCGAGGAACAGATACCCCCGAGCTGGGAGCAGAGCTGTGAAGCCTTCCAAGAGACAGAGAAGCTGGCAAGTAGCTTGTATGAACTCTACTGCCAGCGGATCTGAGCCCCCAAGGGGGTCTGCTTTCTGAAGGTAAAGCAGTGGTCACCTCTGCTTTCCTGCTCAGAACGTTTGGAGGGAGCTGCAGCTGGGGACGAGTCTGCAGCTGAGGAGAACGTCACTGATGTGACCTGAGAGCGGGCGGCAGGAGCTGCCTTTGGAGACGTGGGACGTTCCCTTCGGTTGCGTTTTAGCTGGCAAGCGCACACATGTGACGCCTTGGATCGGAGTGATTCTCCACTGACGTTTACAGCAGCTTCTTCATAATGTTTCTGCTTTGTCCTACTGTTGTGCCATTCTGTCACTATCACTATCATTACTGTGATTCAGGTGGGTGTGTGAATCCCCTGGCTTTCCTCTGCTTTCATCTCCACGGCCTTCACTTCAGCTGTTAGTTTTTGCGGCTCTGATATGCTCTTAAATGTCCCTCTTAAAACAGTCATTACCGCTCAGCTGAGCTGCTGTACCTGGCTGTACCTGGGAGTGCATCCTGGCCGGTGGTACCAGCTACCACCTACATTATGGACTAAGGATGCGGGAAGACAGACCTCGTAGGAAGATTCCTTCATCGCCAGTCTTGCCAAAGATTGGACAAAGGATTTCTTTGCATTTCTAGTGACATTTTAAGAAATGTCTTTAGTCCATGTAGTTAGAATCCCAGTTGGCTCCTTGTTGCTGTTGGAAGGAGACACCACTAATTAATGTTTTTTCTGTATCCTTTACCATCCATTTGACATCATCCCGCTGGGTCACGTTTTGTGTTTCCTTACCTAGCTGACTTTCACACTGCTGCAGCTGTTCTTGACATCTCCTTTTGTTTCCTAATCCTTGCATCCCGTGTTCTTAATCCCATCCTGTGTACATCCAGAGCGCCAAGCGAGATTTCTGTTTAAACCTGTGCATGGAGATTGGTTGTGAAATCTAGTGTTCCATAAGGGTAAACGATCGATTCTGCTGCTGTCAGTGACAAAAATGACTTCAGGTGGAAACGAGAGTTGCCTTTCTCAGTTTTAAAACTCTCTGTACGTGGTAAGAATCTTCTGAAAATAAAGGGAAAGGCAGGTTTCAGTCAGGGGAGACTGTGTCAGAGTTTAAAAGAATTTCCGCATTTGAAACTGGGACAAGTGGCCTCGAATTTCCCAGGAAAGCTGCCTCCACAGCTTTAAGTTGCAATCTTTGCCTGGTGGAGCTGCTCAGAGGGAATGACCTGAGCTCACGTACAGCCAGAAGCGTGTCTAAAAAGGATTATAAGGTCTCTAACAAGTAAAAACAGAAAGAAAGAGGCAAGCAGTCGTCATATGGATGTGTTTATGAATTTGAACGTGACAGTGTGATTCTCCAGAATTTTTCCAGCACTTCTGTGGAACTGGGAAGCGAATGTTCTGCCCTAGTGGAGTTCAGTGCCTGTCAACATGAGCACTGTGTATGTCAGGCTGCGTGCACGTGTAGGAAACCTGGTTGTAATAGGGTCATCCCAGGTTTTCTTACTCTTCTTCCTTCAAATGCCAGTCTTCTGTGTGATGCTTTAATGGGTTTTCCTTGTACGTATGGCTATCTTGTCTTGCAAATGTGGAATTAGGATCTGTCCTATGTTTCTGGGTTGTGCTGCAGATCTATATTGTAAAATGTCATTTTCAAATTGCTTTGCCAGAGATGTCAATGCTTTTAACAGTTATTTAAAAGAAGAAAATCTCCTTTTAAAGCTGCTTTAAAGTGTTTAAAGCGTGGAACTTACAAAGAGTGGACATACTGCCTGTTAAAAAAGAATTTAGGCCCAAATTTAACTGCATACTGACATTCAGCTCTGACTTTCTTGGAAAGAAATAAAGCCACTTAGTTATCTTTGTTAATTAGCCACCGTTGTTGTGTTTTCTTTCAAGTCCTGGAGCTGTGTTTCTGGGCTTCAGTGTGACGCTGTTTTGGGGAACATCTAACCTCGGCATCTGGAGCTGGAAAAGAAACGGCGCAGGTTTCAGGGTCAGTAGGTGTCCTTGTCTCTATTTCAGCCAGGGTTTTGCTGGCAGGTCTGAAAAATCCTCGTCATTCCCCGGAACCTGGGACACGGTCGGGATCGTTCCTGCCGTGTGCATAGTGCAGAGCACGTTCTGCGGCACCGCGTTCCTGCGGGGGAATCCTCCTGACGTGGCGGCTCCCACAAGGTTGTCCCGCGTGGCGGGGCTGCCCGAACGGCGCGGGTGAGTTGGGTCTGGGGGAACTGCAGGGCACGACGGCGGTGCCGAGGGGGCTCCGAGCACGGCCAGCTCCTGGCAGCTCTGCCCGGTGGTGCCCCGTGGGCTCGAGCTCGGCCCTTTCCCGGCAGGACAGTGGGAGAGCTCCGCACCGCAGGATACCTGCTGACAGGCCAGGTGACGACAGGACAGAGACACAACTGAGGCCGCCTTTTATACAATAAGTTTTATTGATGGTTTGTCAATACAATCAAGTACTGTAGTTTTAGTTCCGAAGAGAAGGCCAGTTTCTGATCACAAAAAGAGTGCATTTTAAACCAACTTTTACTATGACAGTGCATGTAATAAGTATTTACAAAACTAAAAACCTCTATATACTAGGTTAGAAGTGAAGATACTAGAGGCAAATTTAAAAAAAAATAGTAAGGATTTGTATATAAAAATGCACATTGTAATGCAGTTTTCATAATTAAAAATACACATACTTCATCCAACCCAACCTTTCTTATTATTGTGATTGAAACCAAAATCCCATGCGCTCACACACACGACAGAAATAATCCTTTCTGCTGGCAAATGTCACGTACTCAGTACTCCAGAAGAGGAATCTTCCTGACAATATCCGGGTTAGTGAACAGCCTCCCTCATCCTGTGCATCGTTTTCCTAGCCTAACTATGTGCGTGTAATATCTTTGCCTTTCCATTACTGTGTAAATGTAACAGGGATATAGCTGCGGCGGTTGGTTATGGCTTATGCTCTGCACATGAAGGGAAGTGAAACTGCAGCGCGCTCTCTATAGCACCGAAGGAGTTAACGGCTCCGTTTGGTTACAGTATTTCTGTCGTTGCTTTTTGCCAGCCAGAACAAGAAGTTTGGAGTAAAACAAAACAGAACAAAGAAGAGGTTGAAGGTAGGTGAGGACACAATATAAATAAATTGAGTTGAATAACAGCGTTAAGCTCCCAGCCTGGAGCGCGTGGCGGCTGCCGGCCCGGCGGGACTGAGGTGTCCGTGCTCGGACGGGCCCCGTGCCACCAGCTCGAGGCCTTTGCTGTTCTCCACGGAGAAACCTCGGAAATAAAGGAGACGCCAGGCTCGCCCTGGAGCCCCCCACCTGAGCCTGGCCTCGAAGGAAGCCTCGGAGCTTCTGCTTTTAGTTTTTGTATGTCTTCTTCCTGCTGGGAAATAACCCATGACCAACTCGGTCAAAACCTGAATGATTTTGAGACTCCTTGAATGTCTGAGGGACTGGAAGCAGCCAGCGCAGAATGAGCAGCGCGGGGTCTGCATTTGCACAGGGGAAAGCTTCCCATCCCATACTGAACAAAATCAGCTCGGGTGAGGGGCCGGAGCACCCGCTTCGAATTGCGTTGCTGTATTTCTGAATTTCAAGGGCAGGTGGGTGTTTTAAAAGGAAGCCCTGGATGGCAAGAGGCACAAAGACAAGATAGGCTTAAAGGAAAAACAAACGCAAAACAGAAAAAGAAAACACACTTAAATATCTTCTACAGTCAATCAGGAGAATAATCCCGAGTCCCGTTCTTGCTACGCTGCTTTTCTTTGGCCACATCATAGGCATTGCAGAGGTTTAAAGGTGAAAGTTGCTGAGCTGGTGGCCAAATTGCTGCTGTTCTCCCGGGGACACGAGTTTGCAGAGGGGCCCTTGGTGTGACGCATGGGGTGCAACTCGAGCAGCTTTCTGCTGGCCCGGCATGAGGAGAGCTGCTTAACTGCAAGTGACAGCCACTATTTTACTCTTTTACTATTATTTTACTATGAGAAAAAGCTGCGGGGCAGCAGGGTTCAGTTGCTGCCGTTAGCAGAGGACAGAGCAGCGCAGGTCAGGGTCTGCACCCCCTTCCCCAGAGCCTCGCAGCTCTCGCTCACGTCGATGAACGGCGTTTCAGGCGCTAGTGAGACCAAGTGGTGACCACAGACAAACGTGGTTTGTTTTTCTAGCCTAGGTCACAGGTGGGCACCTGGAGTGGTGCCCTTTACAGATACATATTGCACTATCCTTGTAACGAACATTGTTAGGGAGACAACAGCACCGTTGTACACTGGCGCAGAGCGAGCACTACTTTTGCACAATGAAGAGCTCCCCGAGGAAGGGGCAGGTGCCAATGCAGAAGCTGACACCTCCTGAAAGAGCAAGACATTAAAAGCAAGTTGTCCGTAAGGGGCACGCTCAGGAAAGCAGAACTAAACCTTCCATTAAACCAGGTGAGAGGCACCGTCCGGAGGGCCCGCGGTGCCAGGAAGCCTTTGGGCTGCAGAGGAACAGCCAGGATAGCACCAGCCCTCGAACTCGCCCGGAGAGGAGTTAACACGGGGCAGGGGAGCAGTTAGCAGGAGTTAACACGGGGCAGGGGATCGTAGTTGGTCACGGGGGCCCCAACCTCCCTCACAGGCGCTGGAAATAGCTCTGTCATCCTCCGAGATAGCAACGCCTGGATGGTTTTATTGCTAAAGTAGTTGGGGAGAGGGTTAAAAATAACATTTACTTATTACAAAAAGGTGCTTATGCAAAGTGTTGCACTTATGGTTGTAAATGCAACCACGCTGAGTCTGGAGTGAATCGGAGAGACGATGTCAAAATTGTCTAAAAAAATAGGTAGCGATGAGACTGCAACTTGGGCGTAGGATGGTTTGGGAGGGGAATTTCTCAGTCCGTCAAGGATCTCTGCTGCTGTATGTGTCTGTGCTGCCTTCCTAGGACCCCGGCGTTCACTGGCAAAAACACCAGCCACGACGACAGCCGAATGATTTGACTGGATTCCAAATGGGCAACAAGGGGGTGCGACTGCAGAACAAGGGTCCGTCTCTCCAGACTGCCTGGCCCGGCTTGCAGAGCCCATCCCGTCCTGCCGAGCGCCGGCCCGTGCTCGGCCTGCACGCACCGGGGCAAAGTCATTCCAAATGCGCTTTGCTGACAAAGTCGCTCCCCTCTCCAAAACAGGAGGGAAGGAAGGAGGGGAGGAAGGGAGGAAGGGCGGGAGGAAGGGAGGAAGGGAGGAGGGACGTCTCCTTTCCGATTGTCCTCTTGACTCATGGATCAAACAGCTTGAAGCAAGGTCCCGCGACAACGGCTTGCACCTT